GAAAAACTTAATATAAATAAAGGTAAATTGTATAATAAAAATTACTAAAATATTCTTTATTTACATTGGAATCAATAAAATTGGAATAAAGTTAAGTTTAATATATTGACTGGGATGGATTGAGGATTTTAATGGGATGTCTGTTCCTTTGTTGAGTTAGCTAAATGAGATCAACAATTATTATTTTAAAAACTTACACTTCTTCCTTTAACTTTTATTTTATAACTCAAACATAAATTTTAATATATTATTTATGTAATTTTTTAATAATTTTATTCAGTCGGTGTACACGCACAAAATGCGTAACCTAAGACTAGTAGATTTAAAATATAGGATGACAAGGTAAAAATCTCTCTCTTTATTTATGTATTTATTTATTTATTTTATATTTATTACCAACCACACCGTAATTAACATGTAAGGTCCATCCCGCACTACATCAAAACAGTATGGGGCACTCGCGCTCCAAAATAAAGAAGAGGGACATTTATGACATTAATCATACTTTATCAAAACCCTAGCAATATAACTCCGCCGCCACCACAGCCAGGGGTTTTCTCGAGCTTCAGTAGCAGCTTAGCCGTCTCACCAGCAAATCAACCGAAGCCATGGTAAATTCTCTTAATTTTCTATTTAATTACTGTTTAACTCACCGAATTAAACTCGCACTATGTTAATTAATATGAAAAATGAAGTTTTATCTTCTGTAATTACGTTTACTACTTGTTCATGTACTTGCAATGTTATAATTCTTCAGCTAGATTTGTATGCGAGAATTTAGATTTTTGTAATAATGTTTTAGCATAAGTAAATGTTTGCTGATCTTAAAATTGTTTGATGAACTGATTTGAATTTGTATAGATTTAAAATTGTTTTTTTTTGAAGCAAGTATACATGTATTAGATAAATAAAAGAGGCTAAATTATAAAAGTGGAACTCCAATATAGTTTTTGGTAGCTAGTTCAAGTGGCAAAGGTTGAGGTACTTGTGACTTAGGTCACGTGCTCGAGCGCGTATGAACTAAGTCTAGTATTTAAGTGGAGAAGGGTACATGGGCGGGTCCATTATCCCGGGTTTTGAAAGTTGCGGTTAGTCCTAAGGGTTGGCTCCTGATAGATTTCTCAACAACATACCCAATATATTCCTAGAAGGTGGGTCGGGGGGGGGGGGGTGTACTGTAGGTAGACCTTACCCCTACCTTGTATAGGTAGAGAGGCTATTTCTGATAGACCCTCGGCACAAGTTTCTCGGTCATCAAAATAATCAGAAGTTTGGTACTGAGAATCTTCTGAAGAACTTCCCCGACGTTTTTCATCTTTTTCCTTTTTTGGAGTGACTGTACAAAGTCTATTATTAGGAGTTTAGGACTAAAGTTTGTATCTTGGCTATAATAATCATCATGGTCTTATACCATTTACTCATTATTTTTGAATGGATAAATGTAGAGTAACATACTATATCTGGAAACTTTTGGTATTTTGCAGTCAGTACCAGTTAATCCCAAGCCTTATTTGAACAATTTGACGGGAAAGCCTGTGATGGTAAAGCTTAAATGGGGAATGGAGTACAAAGGTACTTTGCTTGCACTTGCTGATTCCTAACATTATGCTCTTCGTTAAGGTTTTTGAGAATGAGATGTGGGCGGACGTTGTTTGACTAAGCTCCTTTTCTTTGTTGTTTCTCTTTCAAGGGTATTTGGTCTCCGTGGATTCATACATGAACTTGCAGGTAATGCTTCTAGTTTGAGTTTCTATCCTTTTCCATTTCAAATTGTGTAAAGGAACATTATTTAGTGGATCTATGTGCATCTATATCCTCATGATATGCTTAACTCTTCATTATGAACTATTCATTGCTATCGATGAAGGCATGAGTTGCTGTCTAGATCACCGTATTCACAATCACTGTATTAAGAATTTCCTTATCAAACAGGTTGAAAAAATTTTATTTGAATATCAAGCTGTAGGCGAATTCTTGTTAACTTTACAATAGTTGGGACGTTTCCTTTTCCTTTTTTCTGTTTGTGGATGGGGGGTGAGGAGGGATTGTATTCAGTAAATGCCGAGTTGTGTTCACGAAAAAAAGTAGCATTTTGGTTTTTGCAATTATATAGATTGATTGGAGATTAAGCAGAAGACAAGGAAAAATACAGTACTGACAACAGATTAGGTGTCAAAAGTAAGAGGATCAAAGCTCGTGAACTTTACGTGTTTTAAGTCCCTTCCACTGTATGTTCCTAATACCTGAACTGTAGCTATCTGAGAGGTATGAGCTTCACATTGAGTAAGGCAGTTGTTTCATCTTGAAAACCTCTGTTCTTTCTTTCCATACAAACCTAAAGATGCAATGAGGATGCCGTCCAATCCAAGTTTTGCATTTGAATTTGCGAGCTTATGGTGCCTTTCCTTTATATTAGGAAAGTACAAACTTCTCAATGATGACCCATCAGCTTTGCAGCAATGCAAAGAAATTTCTCAAAGGTCCTGTCTGACACTGTAATGAAGTAGGAGATGAATAGCTAATTTATTTGTCTGCAGCACAGAAAAGTAAAACATAATCTTAGCTGCGTCTTTGAAGGCTAATTCGGATAGCGTATCACTGACTACATAAAAAACATATAAACCATGACTCTGGGAGAACTTGTTTTACAAATGGGTTTACAACTAAAATCAGAAAATTAACGAGCACGAAACAACAAAATTTACAGTAAAAGCATTTTATATTAAGAAGCTATCACAAGCTCCTAGTAACCTGCTTGTTTTAGTGATGTGTGCATATGTGCGTGTTTTTCTTGTGCGATGTTCTGAAATCATGTTATTCTTTTTGCAGCTTGCAAACGCAGAAGAATACATTGATGGACAATGCACTGGTTCTCTCGGAGAGATCCTGATTAGGTACCTTCGTGGCTTTGTCTTTTGATCTTGACATGTGGACCGAATTTAAAATTCATGTCAACAGCTGAGCATAATAATCATACTGTCATGGTTATTTAAAAAAAAAACACAATAATCATAATAGCTAAAATGCCACCGCTTATTTTCTCCC